GCACTTTAAAAACTAATTATAGGAGGGAAGTGTGACTTTTCAGTCTTTTTGGCTCCTGCCATGCTCTATGGTACTCTAATGTGCTAAATCAAGGCTCTGTCAACTATACCACATTGGAATATCAATAAAGTAAGTAAGAGAGTAAAGTAAGTAAGAGAGTAAAAAAATAAAGATAAGCTCCTACTTATCTTCACTTTCAACAGCTAATCAGGATAGAGAATGTGAAAGATTAAGAGCAAAGAATCACAAACAAAACAAAACAGACTGAAAAAATTATTTTTCTATTGTTAAAGTAAATATAATTTGTTTTCAAACTATGTCTACATGCAGAAGCATGGACGAATCTCTTGGCCATAATGTTCAACAAAATAAACCCGATACTATGATTAAACTTATATAAAATTTGGGGACATTCAAATCTGATCTTGGTGATCAAAGTCAGAATACTGGTTACCTTGAGGGTAGGCTGTCCGGGTGCTAGGAGAGTTCTGTATTTTGATCTGGGAGGTGATTTCATAGGTATAATCATATATAACATTTCACTGAGTTATATACCTAAGGTTACACTTGACTTCATGTATGTTGTAATTCACCAAAAATTTTTTAAAATGTATGTATAAGTTGTTTTCCCTTCAAATTTAAGGTGTAAGGTGATACAACTCAGTGAGCAAAGCAAGAATAAGAAAGCTAGGGACCTAATCTAGCTTTTCTGTATCAGAAGCATGAGGTGGTACACAGACATGCAGCTCTTTGGACCTGCATTCTCTTTTCTGGGAGAGGGCTAGAAGCCCATCCCTTTAAGCTACTGGAGATACTAATAAAACCAACTGAAAATCTCTTTGCAAGCATGGAAGACAACTAAGGAGTTATATAATAATAAGCTGAGGAAACAGGAAGATTTACATTCATTTAAAGTAACCTGAAAAGTTGGGAAAAAATAATTTATCCTCTAGAAATTGCTTCTAATAAAACTATTCAGGTTATAGATATGATTAAGTGGATACACTTAAAGAGAAAAGCAGAACAGAATATCCAAGAAGTGTAGGAACAATTTAAAAAGGTGTAATATGGGCGCCTGGGTGGCTCAGTTGGTTAAGCAACTGCCTTCAGCTCAGGTCGTGATCCTGGAGTCCCAGGATCGAGTCCCACATCGGGCTCCCCGCTCAGTGGGGAGTCTGCTTCTCCCTCTGACCCTCTCCCCTCTCATGCTCTCTCACTCTCTCTCTCTCAAATAAATAAAATCTTTAAAAAAAAAAAAAAGGTGTAATATATGGACAATGGGAATACCAGAAGGAGAAGAAAGAGAAGAAGGAACAGGAGAAATATTTGAAGAAATAATGACTGTGAATTTCCCAAAACCAATGACAGACATCAAATCACAGATCTAGGAAGCTCAGGGAATACCAAACATGAAGCGTGTGCGCGCACATACACACACACCTACACCTGGGCATATAATATTCAAACGGCACAAAATAAAAAAGAATAAAATCTTGAAAGAAGTCCGAGGCAAAAAATTACCTTACCTACTGAAGAACAAAGATAAAAGTTATATTAGACTTCTCTTCAAAAACCATGGAAGCAAGAATAATGGAGTGAAATATTTAAAGTGTTGAAAGAAAACAACCACAACCTAGAATTTGGTACCCTAAAAATTATTTCTCAAAAGGAGAAATAAAGACTTCTTTTGCAAACAAAAATTGAGGGAATTTGGGAGCTCCCCACTACTTGCTAGCTGGGATGCTGCCCAATTACGAATCACTTAATAAAGCCAAATAAAAAAATGGAGGGAATTTGTCCCTAGAGGACCTGCCTTACAGAAAATGTTAAAAGAAGTTCTTTGGGGCAAAGGAAAATTATTTAGTTCAGAAATTTGGATCTACGGTAGGTAAGGAAGAGCATTAGAGGAGGAATAATAAAATCTTTTATTTCTCTTACTCCTAATTGATCAGATAACAATTTGTTCAAAAGAATAATGGCAACATTATACACAGTGATTATAGCTTATGGATAAATGAAATACATGAATGACAGCAATGTTATAAGAGATGGAAGGGGGGAATTAGGAATACTTTGTTATAAGGTACTTGCATGACCCGTTTTAGTGGTCTGGTGTTAAGCAGACTTGAATTAGTTATAAATGTATATTGAAAATTCTAGGGAAACCACTAAAAAAGGTAAAAGAAAAGTATAATTTATATGCTAAGAGAGAGGAGAAAATGGAATCATATAAAATACTCAAAATTAAAATCAGAAAGCAGAAAAGCATGACCCATAAAAGAAAAAATACAGTAAGCTGGACTTCATTAAAATGTAAAACGTCTGGGGCGCCTGGGTGGCTCAGTTGGTTAAGCGACTGCCTTTGGCTCAGGTCATGATCCTGGAGTCCCGGGATCGAGTCCCGCATCGGGCTCCCTGCTCAGCGGGGAGTCTGCTTCTCCCTCTGACCCTCCTCCCTCTCAGGCTCTCTGTCTCAAATAAATAAATAAAATCTTTAAAAAAAAAAAAATGTAAAACGTCCATTCCACAAAAGCAGCTGTGAAAAGAATGAAAACATAAGGCACAGACTGGGAGAAAATCTTTGCAAAACACATATCAGATAAAGGACAGTATCCAAAACATACAAAGAGCTCTTAAAACTCAACAATAAGAAAACACAATCCAATTAAAAAATAAGCAGTATCTCAACAAAAATATATATACAAATATCAAATAAGCATATGAAAAGATGATGTTCAACATCATATGCCATTAGGGAAATACAAATGAAAACAATGAGATATCACTACACAATTGTCAGAATGTACGAACTCCAAAACATTAGCACCAAATATTAGCATTAGCACCAAACATTAGCACCTCTAGAGAGGATGTGGAGCAAAAGGAACTCTCATTCATTGCTGGCACGAATGCAAAATAGAACCACTTTGGAAAACAGTGACAATTTCTTACAAAATGACACATACTCTTACTACACGATCGAGCAATCGCATTCTGTAGTATTTACCCAAATGAATGAAAAACTTACATCCACACATAAACCTGTACATAAGTGTTTATAGCACCTTTATTTATAATTGCCAGAACCTGGAAGCAATCAAAATGTCCTTCAAGTGGTGAATGGATAAACAAACTATAGTACACCCATACAATGGAATATTACTCAGGGATTAAAAAAACAAAAGTTATCAGGTCACAAAAAGACATGGAGGAATCTTAAGCGCATATTTTTAAGCACAAGAAGCCAATCTGAAAAGGCTACACATGATTCCAACTCTATTATATTCCGGAAAAGGCAAAACTATGGAGATGGTAAAAAAAAAAAAATCAGCAGTTGGCAGGGCTTTGGGGAAAGGAAGGCAGGGATGAATATGGGGAACACAGAAGAGTTTTAGGGCAGTGCAACTATAATTCTGAATGATACTGAGATGATACATCCATTTTATATTTGTCAAGACCCAAAGAATTTACAATATGAAGAGTAAACCCTAATGTATATTATAGACTTCAGTTGATAATAATGTATCAATATTAGCTTATTGAGGATAACACATGTACCACACTTAATGCAAGATGTTAAAAACAGAGGAAACTGAAGGTGGTAGGTAAGGGTATATAATGGGAACTATACTTTTTGCTCAATACTTTCTGTAAACTAAAACAGCTCCCCCCCAAAATAAAGTCTATTAATCTAAAAAGTAAACTATATATATATATATAGTTAAATTACAGGTGAATTTTTGAGTCTCACGATTTTGATACGGTTTTAAATGGTACTCTAACAAATTTTCATAATAAAAGGTTGGTAAAAATGAGGCACTAGCATTCCTGTATGAATACAGGTAACTTGGTGAGCAGTAAAAACCTATTTATCTACAGTTGCAACCCACATTCTGAGAAAAAGATGAGCCCACAGTTCTATGATGAGTTAAAAGTAAAATATTGGCCATTACTTCCTTTATTCCTTTTCTGGTCTTTGCTTTTTTAAAGTGCTTTGATTTTATTTTTACTATTTATTCATTCACCTGGATAAGCAAAAAACAGTAAGAATAAACCTAATTTTAATGGGACAAAGTATTACCTCATTTTTTCCTACTTTACACAGCTCTACAGTGACAGAGGTGGAAATATTTCACTGTGGCATGCCACGTGAAAATGAGTACCTTCACTGAATGAGGCCACAGTGTCATGGCTACATAAAAAACTTAAATTGTACAAAGGTAAATGTCGAGTGATAAATCTGAGACCTTACTTTTCTCAAAATAAGTAGGAAACAATCAGAGATAATACAATGTATTTGAACAAACATGAGAAGCTCATTTATATTTCCAGAAAGTTCAACTAACAGTTCTAGGAACTGAAGAGCATGCTAAGAACAATTTTGAAAGACTCTGTATGGGCAAGAACCTTATGTCATTAATTGTCATCTTTCCAAGGTATGGCACATAACAAGGTCAATACAGCTTTGCTGAATAAATAAATGCATTAATGAGTAAATTGCATGCTTCCCCTTAGAGGGAAAAATGACCTACAAATTAAAAGATATTTTAACTTGATTTAACAAATCTCCAAATTTGATATACATCAATCCCTTCTAGAATTTTTTTTTTTTTTTTAAAGATTTTGTTTATTTATTTGACAGAGAGAGACACAGCGAGAGAGGGAACACAAGCAGGGGGAGTGGGAGAGGGAGAAGCAGGCTTCCCGCAGAGCAGGGAGCCCGATGCGGGGCTCGATCCCAGGACCCTGGGATCATGACCTGAGCCGAAGGCAGACGCTTAACGACTGAGCCACCCAGGCGCCCCTCCCTTCTAGAATTTTGAGTACAAAGCATACTTACATGGGAAATGAGGTGTGTTAGGATAGAAACAGACTTTACTAAGTTCAGTTCATTGCTGCTTGATATTTAGAATTGCCCCAAATTCCATGTAAGGAAGAGTTAGCTAAACAGATGTTTTTACTCCCACTGTTTAATACAACATAGAAAATAAATCTGTTACCTTATGAAATCTTCTTCCTCTTCTCTTTTTGGCCTCAGCTGTTTGGGTTGAGCCATGTTAATCCAGTTTGGTAGAGATTTCAAGAGTCTGCTGATATCATCATCTTTTGCCCAAGATGCACTGATGACAAGTTTCTCTTCTGACTGGACAATGCCCCTGAACACAATCAGTGGAAAAGAGACACTTCAGCACATTGCCTGGTATCCAGTTAGCATTTTTCATCTACCTTTGCTGAAGAAGAAAAAAATACCACAGCCATCTCTCTTATTAACATAATCTATTATCTGAGTTGGAGTCCTGACATCCATTAGCAGGTCACATTACTGGGAAACCATTTCTAGATTTTGTTCTTAGTCTCTTCACTGCTGAGTAATTGTGCAAGGTCCATAATAATACTAATTTGTCACCCTTATCATAGTTAATCCCTTAGGATAAATAAAAACATATGGTAGGTTTTGGGGTGGACCTTTCAAGAAAGATGTTGAACAAATAAGAATGTTATGAAATAACAACATAAATGGTATTGGAAAGGTGACGAAGTGTTACAAAAGGTTGTTCTCTGACTTCTTGGTTTAAAAATACCAATTAGTTCTACTTGAAGGTACTTTTTGAACTACGGACACCCCTCTATTCAAAGTAAATCTACCATCATAGAGAAACCTTCTGCCCCAGATGTCAGGCAGAAAAAGTCTTTGATTATTGCTCTCTCCAGTGGGCTTTGACTGGTGACCTAGAGTGACAGGCTTCAAGTCCTTTAATAGGGCCCATGGGTTAGTTATCAACACTGCGCTTACCAGAAAGTACCTGTAAATTCATCTTAAACATTCAATTTCAACCTAATTAAAAAGCTTCTCCTTCTGTTCAACATTTCTGTCACTATAACTAATTTCAATGGTCTAAAAATCATCAGCAACTCTAAGTGACAGGAATGACATTTATTTATGAAGGGAGTGCTACTTAGCTGGCTACCCCCTCTCAAGTTGACCCAGACTCCAGGAGGTTTCCCCCTGTCACAGGCAGGAATTTATGTTGGTGTAAGAATCATAACTAGGGGACATTATGCACATCTTAATATACAACATATGTATGGTGGGTATTCATGATAAAAGCTCCTTAACCAACAGACAATTTCATGTCTGTCAACAAAAGAAGCTGAAGCCTAAAAACTTTGACTCATGACAACCTGACTCGAGGTAATAAGATTTCAGGTTGTAGGGAGCAGTATCGCTCTGGTTCTCTGAAAATAAGCTAAAATTACTAAGAAAACCATAGCTGATTTCTAGCATTCTTCTAACTCACGATAAGCAAAAGTTTTCTAATGGTAACTATGGTCAACAATGCAGAAATTAGACTTCAGAACCTTTCTTCAGGTCTCTCAAATTACTCTCCCTGGTACCTTCTATTCTCTTTTTTTCTCTTGTTATTTTCTTGCATCTTTTCTGCGCTATTTATGGATTAGTCCCACAATCTGACTTTTACCCATACATATGTGGGGTGCTGGGTACCATCTCACATTCATGATGTCGTATGCCAGGTGGGCCGTCAATGTTCTTTGGCCTTCCTTTTACCTGCTTCTGCTCAACTTCCCCTCCCATTCCCTCAATGCCATTCTTTAAACCTTCACCTTTTATCTCCTCATTGCTTACCCCCTACATTCTTCCTATCTGACACAGAAAGGAGGCTTCTTAATTATATACTTTCAAACATTCCACCTCTATTCCCCACAGAAATATCTTCAAATCTGTCTCATCTTCATTCACTTCCAGTTAATCTCTCTACCTAGGCTCTTAGGGATCCTCCCTACTGCCCCCAAAATCCCCTTTTCCATATCTCGTAACTCTCTCAACGTATCCCCCAACCCCGTCATTTTTTTTTTTTTTTAAAGAATGAATCAATCTCTTCCTCGATCCAGCATTTCTCTCCAGTGAAGCTCCTCCCTACCCTTCACAGACCCTGTCGCCCAGTGAGTGGCCTTCAATGACTTCTCTTTCTCACCTCTCACTCATTTTATCAATTTATGACTCTCTCTCTCCAGGATCTACTCTAGGATTTAACCCATCTATTGCTTTTTTGAAATGTTTTCAATTATTGTATTTTTCCTTTCTAGATTTTCTCTTCAGCAATTCTAGAAATCCACTAGCTTGCCTCCTCCAAAATGACCTGCTCTTGAATTATGGATTCTATTCTTTACCTTTTTGAATATTTTAAAAGCAGCAATTTTAAAGTTCCTCTCATGTGGCTTTACATTTTTTGTTAGTTCGTTGGATGTCACATGTCCTGTTAGTTGCATTTTCCTTCTTTTCTCATGATGATGAGTTTTCTCATGTGATGTGCTATTGGTCTGCAAGCTCCACCTCAGTGGGATTTGTCCTCTATGGGAATCCCACATTTGCCCTGAGTTTTAGAGATGTTACTATTAGGTGGTTTGCATTCCCCTCGTCTGGATCCTATAGGTTTCACTAGTTCCAAGTAGGTTTTAAGTTTTTTTTTTTTTTTCCTTTCCTTTTTTTTGGCTTAGAACATTCTCTCCCAACAGGGGAAGTGCAAATGGAGGTCCTTACTTGCACCTGTGTGGGATTCTGATCTCCTCTAGAGGCCACTTTTCTACTCTCCAAGTTGGGTGGCTCATTCCCAAGTCTAGAGTTTTCCTGGTTGCAGTCATAGGTGGAAAAGTCCCTTGCATAACTTCTGCATGAATAAAACTCCCTGCCATGCAGGTGTTCAAATGCCAGCCCCTACTTGGGTCTGAACTCGGCTATGATCTGAATGTCTGTGTCTGTCCAAAACTCACATGTTGGAACCCTACTATCAATGTTATAGTGTTAGGAAGTGGGGACTTTAGGAAGTGATTAGGTCACAGGAGTAGAGCCTTTATGAGTGGGATCAGTGCCCTTATAAAGAAATCCCACAGAGCTCCCTAGCTCCTTTCACCACGTGATAAAGCAATGAGAAGTCTCAGACCTGGAAGACAGCCTCACCTTACCCTTCTGGCAGCCTAATCTTGAACTTCCACCCTCCAGAACTGTGCCATCCTATCTAAGCCATCCTATCTGTGCCACTTTGTTACAGCAGCCCAAACAGACAAAGACAATTGCCATATGAAGTCCTGATACTTTTGTGGGCCACTCAGCATCACTATTTGCTTACTGCTATGGCACAGAGATCCTATATGCTATTTTCTTTCATTTGCGGCATCTGGAGAATTGCTTTTCTTCCTTTTGAAACTGGCTGAATATTTAAATTTTTTAAAAGATTTTATTTGAGAGAGAGAGAGAGAGCATGAGCAGGGGAAGAGGCAGAGGGAGAAGGAGAAGCAGACTCCCCACTGAGCAGGGAGCCTGATGCGGGGCTCGATCCCAGGACCCCAAGACTATGACCTGAGCCAAAGGCAGATGCTTAACTGACTGAGCCACCCAGGGGCCCCTAAAGTTATATATTTCTAACTGGACTTTGTATGTGTTAGAGAAGTAGGAGAAGGGTTTCCTAAATCTATCAATTCCACACTTTTGACTGAAGTCAAAATTCAGTCTTAAATCAATTGCAATCAGGGTTCTAGAACCACTATTCCTGTGAAACTGCTCCATTGACCCATGGGTGTATTTTATTCTTCACATTCTTTGGTTATTCTGAAGCACCTGATACTTTTGATTATTCCCTTCCTGAAATATTACTCCTTGGGTTTCCACATTATCATCTTTTCCTGGTTCTACTCCTGCTACCCTAACCCCTTTTTAGAAAAATTGATGGCTCATTTCCTCTGTCCATTCTCTTAATATTGGTGTTCCATTCTGCATTTCTCACTTGGGCAATTTCATCTTCTTGCCAGATGTGACTGACCTATATTCTGATAACTCCTAAATTAATATCGTCATGGCTGTCCTCTCTTCTGAGTCTTGGACCTGCATATCCAAAGGCTTCCTGAAGATTTCTATTTGAAAGTCCTACCAGCATTTCAAATTAAAATGAATCAAAGGAACTCATTTATTGTACACCTTTCCCTCTCTGACTAAACATCTAGTATTCCCTGTTTTGGTCAACAGTCCAACCATCCATCTTGTTACTCAAGTCACGAACTAAGAGTCATTCTATTCACCCACAGTCACAACATCCTGCCAATTTGACCTCCTCAGTATCTTACAAATCTGTCATTTTCCTGTTTTAGGTCCACTGCCATTAACCTTGTCACTTGGATTTGGCAGTAAGTGGGCATCTTGCTTGGAACTTCTAGACCATCAGTCCAACTTAACACTAGTTGGAAGAGTTATTTTCCTAAAACTGTTCAAATACAGTCATGTTGTTCTCCTTAGAACTCCATTGATTCCTAATTCTAAGACCAAGTCCAAACTTAGAGTATGAATGAACATCCATGTTTTCAGCTAGCTTTCCTCCTCTGTCTATGTTCACTATTCCCCAACACCCCACCTGTGTTGGCTAAATACCCTATACATAATGAGTATTCTAGAGTTTTTTTCAATGGGGGGGGGTAATGTTTCCTACTTCTGTGTATTATCTCTGCCTGTAAAGCCTTTTCCTCATCTCCTTGTTTGATTCTACCGATTAAGCTTTACTTCGATTCCTCCCTTAGGACAGCTGAGTCTTCTTCTGTGCCTCATCACCCTTATGTCAGAGATCTCCAACCTTGACCGCACATTGGGATAACATGGGGAGCTTTTAAAAAAACCAGACACCAAGTCCATACCCAAGCCAAAGTAAATCAATCTCCGGGGATGGAACCCAGGCATTAGAATTTTTACAAGTTTCTCAGCATTCAAAGGTGAGAATCAGCACCTTACACACACTTTTACTATCACTGGTCCTACGGCACTTGTTTGCAAATTGGGATCCCACAGTGGATGATGAGTTCTTTGAGGGTAGAGTGAATTTCTCTTTGTTTTTTGTGTCCCCAGTGTCTAGTACAATACCTGGTATTTGGAGTATATATGAGAACTGAACTAAAGCTAAAAATAAGCTCTCTTCAGTTTTAGGAGTCTAGGTAATTTATTAAACTAAAACCATCTTTGTGGTTTTCTTTTACTTCTCTGTACTAAATGACTTAGGTGAGATATCAAGTCATTTGATGTTTTAATCAACTTAGAGATCAGTCTGCCAGGCTCTCAACATACCTCTCTGAATTTAATACAAATCAGACTCGTGAT